AGTTGCTTATGAGAACAGTCCCTACAGAAGAGGGATACGGGGTGTGTGGAAATAAGCTGGAGCATATAACCATTTCCATCATGTTCAGTACCCAGAGGTCTGTGGTGATAAGCAATCATGCCAAGCTGAAGTGGGATAGGAGGGTTTGAATATGGGGCGGGGGGGAAATGTGGTGGGCCAAGAACCAGTATAAGGCCCTTGGGCATCCCATCAAAAGTTCTGTTTGGCTGCCTCAGAATACGTTGGTGGGCCAAGTAGGAGTGCCGAGGTGGATAGTGGGTGGTTGCCCACATCTAAACCTCCTGCTGCATTTCTTCTGCAAGCCCTGATGGGATGGCAGAGCTAAGAAACAGGTGCGAAACACAGAGACTCAAGGACCTGAGGGTGGCTTTGGAATCTCCCAGGCCATGGAACTTCACATCCATTTGCTTTGAGAATGCAAAGCATCTTCATATTAACAGCCCTGGAAAGACTGCTGAGGACTGGAGCCAAGAGCATCTGCACATGACCACAATAGAAGCCCAGTCATCTGCATCAAGGGCAGCCTACGGAGAAGCCCTGGTTACAGATTTCCCCTCCTCCATCAGAGCTGAGAACTTCTGGAGAAGCAAGTCCTTGTCTTTCCAAGTTAGTTCCCAGACACTGAAGTCATACTTCCCCAGGAATGTCGATTGGAAATGCTATTCTATACAGCATCCAGTAGAATAAATCTTTCTACAAAATATATCTAGTCTCTTGAGGTCTTTCACTTTGTGTGTCCCTCCTTGCTGCCCTTGCTTGTCCCTTTCATTGGCTGTCAAGACCACCAGGGAACCCATAGGAGGATGGAAGTACAAGTATTCCTATCCTTAAGTGGGAACAAAGTACTTTTTGGGGGACCCTCTTTGGGGAGGGAGGGAAGGAGAAGAGGTTGGCCACAGGGCATTAATCAATCCCATGATAGACACCTTTGACACGGCTGCCAAAGTCAAAATACTGACCAGGCCATGGGAGGATTCTGATTACTTCCACTTCCAGGTCACGATTTCAGGCCAGTCTTCTGCACAGTGCCTGATGAACTTGGATGTCATTATGGGGAAGCAATACAAGCACTCAACACTGTCATGTAGGGAGAAGGAAGAGAGGGCCTGCCCCAGAGGTATCCTTTTCTCCTTCTGCATCAACCAGGGCCTGTGGATGTAGGTCCTGAGAGTCAGTACCAGGCCTGGTAGTGACGGAGTCTGGCTCAGGTGCTTGTCAAAAAGACAGAGGCACTAGTAACAGAAATCATTCAGCCACCATTATTATTTGCCCAACAGAGATGCCAAAAACAGCTATTTAACTAGACCACAAAAGATGTCTTGTTTTCTCTCAAGCTATGTCTAGACTGCAGGATTCTTTCCGAAGAAGCTTTTCTTGAAGAGAACTTCTGAAAAAACTTCTTCTGAAAGAGAGCATTCACACACAAAAGCGCATTGAAAAAGCCATCTGCTTTTTTGAAAGATAGCGTCCATTCAGCGAGGACTCTATCTCGCATGTAAGCTATGATTACTATGGATGGAATGGCCACCAGGCACCTGTGCTTTTTCCTCTTCTTTCGAAAGAACTCCCTCTTCCCTATCCACACACGCCTTTTTCCAAAAGAGCACTTTAGGAAAAAGGCTTCTTCCTCATAGAAAGAGGATTACCAATGCTGGAAAACCCCTCTGTTCTTTCTATTAACTTTTGGAAGAAAGCATTGCAGTGTGGACATAATGCAAGTTTTGTCGGAAAAACAGCCTTTTTTCTAGCAAAACTCTGTAGTGTAGACACTCTCAGATGGCAGCACTTGTGAGAGTTAGTTTCTCCCTGTTGGACGGCAAGAGGGAAGAGTGCCAAAAAACAACTAAATAGGAAATAACATTGAGAAATATACACTTGCAGCAGATTTCAGGGGAAGTAGCTCAAGAAGTCTTAAACATGATTGGTAAGAATCCTTTTCTCTTATGACAGAATGAACCAACTGTACTTCCCCTTTGCTTTGCTATGCTAATCTACACTTGAACTAAGAGAAAGAACTTACGAACTTTTGCCCACGAAAGCTTATGCTCCTACACTTCAGTTAGTCTATAAGGTGCCACAGGACTACTCGCCGCTTTTGCTGATTCAGACTAACACAGCTACCCCTCTGATACTTGTCCTCCCTTAGTCTGCTTTATACTTTAATACACAAAAAGGCAACAGCCCAGTTTCTATCCACCTTCACGCTCCCTCCTTCCCCTGGGGCAAGAATATACAAAGTTTCAGTAGCAATGTATTTTTGGCTTATATCCCACAAGTCTACAACAAGGATCAAGCCAATCATGTTTAATGGAAGACCTCATAAGAACATTAAAAATAGGATTTGAGATAAGTCAGCAGCGTGGCCAACAAAACATTAAGGGTATGGCTAGACTGCGAGGATCTATCGGAAAAAGATACATAAAATGCGCTCCGCATTTTGCATATCTTTTTCTGATACTTTTGTTGGAAGGCGCTTTTCCAAAATTTGGACTGTCTAGACTGGGCCAAATTTTGGAAAAAAAACCACCCTCTTTCGAAAGCCCCCTTCTTCCTCATAGAATGAGGAATACAGAGGCTTCCGAAACAGTGCATTTGCTCTTCTGGAAGAAAAAAAAAAAAAGGAAGATCAAATGTGTTCCCTGGACACGGCAGAATTTTAGTATCCCAAAACGCCCCACAGTCTAGCCGTACCTAATGTGCAAGATAATGGCAGTACTATTTTCCTCAACCACACATTCTACAGAAAGCTTCTTGGTTATTCTTAAGAAATTCAATTATGTCTTTTAACTTGAATTTCCAGTATTGATTGGCAACTAGTGCAATATAAAAATAAGCAAGAACTTGTTCATCTCAGTATTGTTTCCATGAGGGAAGGGCACATGGATGAGACCATGGCGTTCAGAGGACCTATTTAGATTTATCAGGAACTGTGAAACCTTTTGGACAAAAGGAAGACCTATACAGGAAGAATGGCCTCCATCAAAACCAAAATGGAACTAGACTGCTGACATGTAAAATTAAAAAGGTCACAAGAGGTTTTGTTTGTTTTTTTAAGACAAAGACATCTCTTAGGGGAGGATTTATTAAAGAAGAGCAGTATGTGGCTCGCAGGAGATGACTGTGGTAGCAGCCAATGAATGGGAGGCTTGAGGCAGCCAACCAGAACTCAATTGGGCTGTATAAAAAAAGGTGTCTGACCTCACGGCACACAGTATCTCTCCAGCTTTGGAGAGAACTGAAGTTGCTGACTACTAAGGGAACCAGGTACCATGGACAGAGCAGTGCTCAGAGGGGCAAGTTAGCCAGCAGGGCTCCAGCCAGCTTAGCTCAGGCCTTGATACAGGAGCTAGAGAGGGTACTGGGGGCTGCTCAGAGGCATCCAGAGGGGAGAAATAGGTAGCAGGTCCATCTCCCTTGCCAGTGATGAGTGGCCAGTGCAAGCTGTTGGGTGCAGTGCAGTGCTTGCTACACACCAACACCAAGGTACAAGGGGTAGAATCTGGCCGTAACAGCTCAGAAGCCAGTCAGAGGGCAACCTCCATGAGGAGGAACTGCTCTCTTTCTAGGTTCTGGGTTGACAGTTTTTACAGATACGTGTCCTTCACGTGATTCCCCGAAGTATTTGATACAACTGTTGTGAGGGATTCTAAGAGGCATAGGTCTGTTGCTGTTAAAGCAGGGCTTAAATCACGGAGACTAGACCATGCTATGCCTGGGGCTAAGTCCCTGATGGGACTCAAACTACTATAAACAAGCTATTTACAAGATCTTAAGGCTTGAAATCAGAAGAGACTAAATCACTAGCTCTTGCTATGCAACTAACCTCTATGGGTGGCAAAAAGGAATGGAGAGGGTGTAGGATCATCATCAGCGGAGCCTAATATACTGACGCATTAATGCAGCCCTCAAGTGAGTGCCACAGCAGATCCCTATGGTAAACATCTCTGACAACCTCACATATGGGGAGGCAGAATGGCATTGACATGAGAAAGCATTCAGAGATGAACAGATGGTCACTCAATGAAATCATCAAGCAGAAGATTTAAAAATAAAACTTAAGGAAGTACTTTTTCACACAACAGTCAACCAGTGAAACTCATTGCCAGGAGACAATGAAGGTTCATAAAACAATTAGGTAAGCTCATGAAAGACAGGTCCATCAACTACTATTAGCCAAGATAGTAAGGGACACAATCCTATTCTCTGTGTGTCCTTAAACTTCTGATGGCAGACCAAATGCCATGAGATGAATTGCTCAATAACTGCCCTGTTCTGTTAATTTCTTCTCAGGCTTCTGGCACTGGCCACTGTCAGCAGATATGGTACTGGGCAGACAGAGCACAGTCTAACCCAATATGAAAAGAACAATAAATGGTCTGGTAGCACTTTATAGACTAACAAAACATGTAGATGGTACATTTTGTTTACCATTGTCCATGTGCAGGGTTGCCAGATTATACTGGTTTCTGTCCATATAGTTTTTTCCTTCTACCATCATTAATTATTAATTATTATTATTAATAAAACAGCATGTATGTAAAGCAAGGGTACATGTAGTGAGGTGCAGGCTGATTGCACACAACATCGACTGTGAGAGTAATTTGCTCCCTCTGCATCCAGTCAGAGCCCTGCTATGGGTCATTCGGCACACCCTGCAAATTCTAGGCACACAAGCTCAGCTAGCAAAACTACCTTATCCCAGGAGACTGTCTTGGTTACCACAATCCTGTGGCCCACTGAGATGAAGGAAGGCCACTCATGAGGCCCGTTCACTAGCCTAGGTTGTCCATTGCTGCTTTATAACCTCCTAAACTAGTCAATACAGCGAGTACAGTTGTCCAGAAGTGACATGAAACACTTGCTCCTCCAGTGTATATGAGCCAATCCCCGTTAAAGAAGAAAAGAAAATATACAATTACCAGTAAAAAGCTGTCATTTGAGACAAATTGGTAGACTTGATTAAAGCATGAGAAACTCCCCTGAACATCTTAAGACTTTTTTTTGCAAATTTGACTGCTTATATATGCCAGAGTATATATTATATTTATTATAGCATCAAGAAAGTTACATGGGGAAGAGGGTAATAACTAACATGTAAAAGCCCCTAAGCATAAATAATCTGGTCCTAGTACTACAATATCGGCCATTTAATCCATGGGGGTATGTCGACACTACCACCCTAGTTCGAACTAGGGTGGTAATGTAGGCAACCGGAGTTGCAAATGAAGCCCGGGATTTGAATTTCCCGGGCTTCATTTGCATAAAGCCGGGCGCCGCCATTTTTAAATGTCCGCTAGTGCGGACTCCGTGCCGCGCGGCTACACGCGGCATGGACT